CTACAATGCTCCTTATTTCTACCATATGTTTAATGTGTGTTAACTTTGGTTTTTCACATTGTAGAACATTTTTCGTAAGGCTGATAATGGACAGTAGTGTGAAACTTCGGGTCGTCGGAATATACCTGATGCTACCTACTTTTACTTAATAAATTTTGTGGAGACGACATTATTGCAAATTAATTTTAACATTGAATACATTCGATATGAATATGTTACGAACTTCTATATAGAATACAGTTCATTCTTGTCGTCGAGCTATACAGGGAGTGTGAGTGCATCAGGGCGATATCACGGTAAAATATGTACATACAAAAATTCTCGCAACTCGGTGACATATGATAAACATTTTTCTGAGTAGGCAACTTTCCATTAGCAGTTACTGAAACTGTGAAATGTATGTTTCACTTTATATGTTGTGTGAAATGAATTTATTGTTTGGAATTATTCGGAATTAATGATCAAAATTTTCTGCGGAATATCATAAGGTACTGATAGTTCGATGATTTATTAACATCACATATTATTTGAAAACTAATAGTTTGATGCGATGCGATGTAATGTTATGAAACAATAAATGTAGGAAATTAACGTTTTGAGATAAAGATAATTGACTTCAAAAAGTGAAAACGCGATAAGAGTCAGCGTTTTTCATAAGGCCTACCTTATTTACACTAGTTGAGCCATCACTCATCAACATCATTTTTTGAAAAGAAGTATTCATTGATCCGCCGTTCCATATTTATTTACCAAACCTATAAGAATTTTTCACTAATCAGGAGGAGAAATTCAGGAAATACATTGGTTATTTCGTTATGGTGTAAGTTTGTATACACTGTGTCCATAAAGTCACCCCCCCCCTGGTTAACTATTGAACGGATGGGATTTTTTTTTTCAATTTTTTTTTGCTTCAATGGTAGTTTCAGTGCTACATACATATTGTTCCAAAAAAAAAAGTATGTATCCTCCAAAATGGCACCTGGGCGCCATTTTGGAAGATTTTTTTAAATGGAGTGGGGGTCGAAAGATACCTCGATTGAAAGGTCTTTCGATTCTCTATACAACCTCAGAATCTCAGACGAAAATATTCATCCAAAACTAAATGGCGGATGATAACGTTTGAAATCTCACACCAGAATTCTTTCGACTAGATGGCTATTAAAGTGCTCGCATGCGATCTTCAAATCTCTATTGGCGTATAGAAGAGTTCCCTATCTATGAAGATATCAATAGGAAGCCATTTTGAAGAGAATGACATGGTAGTCAATTATTACCTCTGCTCGATTGCCTTTCCAAATTCTGCAAAATTTTAGAAATATTTATTCAAAATAAAGAACAATGTTTATTCCACGTGACGACCATGTTATTCTCTTCAAAATGGCTTTCTATTGATATCTTCATAGATAGAGAACTTTTCTTTACGCCAATAGAGATTTGAAGATCACATGCGAGCACTTTGATAGCCATCTAGTCGAAAGAATTCTGGTGTGAGATTTCAAACGTTATCATCCGCCATTTTGTTTTGGATGAATATTTTCGTCTGAGATTCTGAGGTTGTCTAGAGAATCGAAAGACCTTTCAATAGAGGTATCTTTCGACGCCCCACCCCAATTTAAAAAAAATCTTCCAAAATGGCGCCCAGGCGCCATTTTGGAGGATACATGTTTTTTTTTGGAACAATATGTAGCAATAAAACTACCATTGAAGCAGGAAAAAATTGAAAAAAAAAATCCCATCCGTTCTAAAGTTAACCAGGGGGGGGGGGGGGGACTTTATGGACACAGTGTAGTACTAGTGCATAGGTTGAAAATGCCGATTCAGCACAATCATGCATGTTTTAAGCACAGTGTTTTAGCATTCTTTGGTTTTAATATTGACTCGACGAATCATCGACATGAGAAATATTTTCCATCCAACAACTGCTTTTTTTGTTCTTCTCATCACGAAATAACTATTTTCTCCGATTGACATTAAAAATCCATTTTTAATGACACTTAACAGGCAGGTATACTTTCACTGCCTACGCAGAAAAAGTTTGTTGCTATGCAACGTTCCAACCCTAACAACACAGGGATGTCCTAGGTACGTCCCTTTTTTGTCCCGCGATACAAGGACATGATTGGGACATCCAGGGGATGTCCTGCAGTGGTTGTCCAGTGGACATACCGTCCGGTACATCCCAGGGTTATCCTATTCGTGTCCCTGGAGTATATGATATCCATTCACATCAGAGTCATTGAATTTCATCAAACTATATTGAGTTGAATTTTCTTGAAAATGTTTGTTTCTCTTCCGGAAAATGATTGTAATGAAAATAAAGAATGAAGTCTGATAATTATACCCAATTCCTAATAAAGTTTCTGTTGTTAAGTCCTGTTTATAAATCTGTTCAGTACATAAATCTTCAGGAGGCATGATAGCCAATGGAGCAAGGTGCGTGCATGATAAGCCAAAGGTCCCGGGTTCAATCCCTACTCGACCTGCAACTTTTTTTCTTTTGTCGAAAGGCTGTCCCTGGGATATCCTTGGGACGTCCTAGGGATATCCTTTCATCGTACTTGGTACATCCCAGGGACGTACCAGAAGGACATCCCTTGGATGCCTTTTTTAGCGGCCAGCGGATGTCCCTGGGACATCCCTAGTATGTACGTTGTCCCGACAAAGGACATCCCTGAGATGTCCTAGTATAAAATCAGGGACGTCCATGGGAAGTCCCTAGGATGTACTGGTGTTGTTAGGGAAGTAATTTGAATCAAATTGGTAATCAAAATTGACAATGAATTTGGGTGAACGAAAAACGATGGATTATTTGGCGTGAAATTGAAATGAATTTGTAAAAAAATTATATGTTTCACATGGCAGAAAAGAAGATGTCATGCCTTGGCTGGTTTCCTAGCATCGGCTACGCCTATATAGGCTATTAAACGCCAGCCGCGGCATTGAATCTTTTACTTTTCTGCCTTGTAAAACAAATAACTATTGATACATCGATGTGTTCGATTGATAACCGAAATATAATATTTCTAATTTTTACCGATCGATCACCGGCAATACCTACCTAGGTACCTAGACTGCCTACTGCATACCTATCCATGCGGAAAGCTAACGAAGAGAGAAACGTGAGAGAAACTTTCACTTGACTGGTTATTTGAAGTTTTTGGTATAAAGCGAAGCGGCATTGCACCCATACATTTCTGTTTCAGCCATCAACGTTCATAATCGGTTCAACCTTGTTCGATATGGCCGTTTGCTGGATTATTATTCATTTATTGTTTGAACGACTCGACAATTGAACCTAATTTTTTTGAAGGAACAAATCATGATTAATTGTGATTCTATTGGCCGCCCACTGATACAATATACCTACTTCATTCACTGGATTTACCTAATTCCAATAAGCAAATAATATCTTTGACGATCAGAATCAGATGAGACCACGGGTCACGGGCTTCAAAATCACAATATTCGAATATTTATAAATGGTGTTTCTCCGGTACTAGAACTGGTAGAACAATGCAAATTTAGTTGAGTTTGCTCATCAGTAAAAAATTCTCGTAATTGTATCCTTATCGAGGTACGTATACCATAAGGTACTGAAAAAAAATTATATAGTTTTTTACGATTATGTCCAAACTACTAGCAAAATTGTAATGACATTTTGTATGAATATGTTGTGAAAGCTGACACATCACATGAATTTGTTTCCATATCTGATTCTCATAAAAGACGCTAGTTACACGGTTTGTACTGAATAGTCACAAACATAGTTCATTAGAATACTTAATTCATACATAGCTTTATATCAGCAAGAGTAGATATGACTTTCTTCATTTCCAAATCAAAATATTCGGAAGAGAACCTTTTGAGGAGAATTGATTGATGTTCAACTACACATAAAATTTGGACTATAGAAACTGTAACGTCGAAAAAGTAATGTTTAAAACTACTTCGAACCAACCGTGTAACTAGTGTATTCTATATGAGAGTCAGATATAAGAGCGAATTCATGTTATAATATTGCTAGTAGCTTCGACAGAATCGTGAAGAATGTGTTTGAAAATTGTTTTTCCAGTAACGCACATTTTTTACTGAGCAACTTTATTTATTTTGCGTTGTTCTACCTATCTTATTTTTAAAAGAAGAAAAGATGGATCATAATGAAAAATTCTTCAACTTCAATTTTCTTAATTTTTGGTGAACCTAAAGAGATCTTCCTGTAGAAGATACCACGATGAAACTTTGCATCTAAATATTTGATGTGTTCCTTCATTGAATGACTACTTCACTGATTATAATATTCCTGATACTAAGTGAATTGAAAAACCAAGAATATGAAAATTTGCCATCGAATAACTAACACCCCATATGAGCTATTACGTTGACATTTTTCATGGACCATTCCAGGTATGCTTGAATCTAATAGTTCATCCACTTTTTCAAAAAAAAATTCCTGATAGTCGTTTTGGAAATTATTACCCATCAATCAAACAAAAGTATATAGACCTTGATAATTTTAATATTTTTAGATTAACTGATTTGAGAAATCGGAGCTTAATTTCTGGAACCCTATATGTAGGATAGGATATATCTGGAATTTTTCACAGAAGAATCACCGGTTCACTAGTGCTCAGGAAGGGGGTCACGACCCCCCATAACCCCCTCCTGGATCCGTCCTTGTAGGTATCTACACTATAGTCAAATACTTATAAAAAATAATGTTGGTCTTATAATACCTATAGTCGCTCGTTTCCAAGTATCTCTTGACAAAATTAGAGAAATCTCACTATCGAGTTCATATAATATTACCAATCCTCCAATCCATCCATAGAGGATAGAGGTATTACACAATCATCGAAACATTGCCATCGACGCATTATGCAGCCCTAGAAATATTTCTACACCAATTGGTTTTCAAATTTTTGAAATCAGAACGCAGACTATAGTAGCTAGCGCTCCCTGTGGCACTGGGACAGAACTTAAAATAACATTAATGTTCTCACCTTTCCAGATCCCCTCGTATTTGCCGACAACAGCGCTCCAAGTGCATGCTCCCTGTATTCTTTGTCCAAGAGGTCGTGCTGCGCCTGAATGCGTCTGCAACCAACGTTACGAAAATCGTTAAATGAGCTAGTAACTAACAGATGGCGGCACAATTGCATTTAGTGGTATTACATATTGGACATTGAATCATTTGAACATAGATTAACGTCGTTAATCTATGATTTGAATGAAATTCTAAAATTCGGAAGATCGTTATTATACGTATATAGGTGTGTTGTACCAGATTTGATAGACGATGTAATCATATCTTCTCAACTAAATTAGCACAAAATTTGATTGAAACATTGAGAACGTTTTTGGGGATTACGACCAAGTTGCTTTTCCTTTGGGAAAATATACTTTGCGCGTTTTACTACTGTAATTGTATACAATGTACAGAGTCTTCACGTACTTACATCTCTACACATCGCAGATAGTATATGAATATCTAAATAGAGAATACTCTACAGCGTGTCTCACTTTAAACGGCCCATCATCTTCATTAGCTTATTAGTCGTGCAATTGGTAAAACATTTGGAGCAGCATATAAATGACCATCAATATGATACATCAGTTTTTCAGAGACGAACATAGTGCTTTGCGTGCCGATTTTTCAAGGAATCATATAAGTTTTTTTTTTCATTTTCTCGCAGGAAAACTAACTTTATATCTCGCTTCATGTTACTGTTCCCAATGCCTTTTATATGCAAAAAACAGCTCATTGACCAAAAACTCTCAGCACCTACCTGTTGACCTTATATCTTCATAGTCTTTGAGACATAACCCTAACCCTATCAAATTAGGGTATATCGTTGGATTAGTAATGTAGTAATGACATCGTCCACCAATTATCCGGGCAAATAATATACAGTGTCTCAATTTCCAATACTTCAAGATGGTTCTAGAAAATCCCATAATTTTTATCCTTTAAGTGTTTGCTACCATAGTGAAGATGACATGAATTTCACAATAGGGGGTAGAAATACATATCTTGTAATTTAGGTATGTAGCCAAACTCCAAGGGGTGATTATTTGGTGATTCTAAGACGAGAAGTGAAAAGTTCATGTTTATATAGGTCCAGAAATGCTTCGTTTTCAAGATAGAAGGTGTCAAAGTTTCAATAAATTATCGTTTTTTTGCATCCGACACAAAAGTCGTCCATTTTAATACCAAAAATAGCTCTTGAATTGACGATTCTATTACTGACACAAACATATGTATGTTGCTAGGCAACACATTTAGTTCGTAAAAGCTAAAAATGAACTTCAGCTCCTAGGAACTAAAAAGAAGTAACAACATTGTTACGGTTGGTTATTTGGGTTGGGACGCATACCTACCTGATTTGTTTCCGATTAAAACAGATTTGGCATTTCATACACATGCTAGAGATATAAATACACCATATTACAGTTGAGTATCTTTGTTTTGATCAGAAAAGCATTCAAGATTCACATACTCGCTTGATCTGTATTTCACTCGTTATACTCGAGATGGATAACTTGTTTTTGAATAATCACGGCCAGCAATACTTTTCTGTCTCATAAAACGAAATTATTAACCTTCATTTGATTACCGAGCCAAACACAGTGGAGTATGGAGAGAAATAAATAATCGCAATTATTATTATTGATATGCTCACTATCCTGACATTTTCCACGTCTTTTTCCTATACGTGGCACTGGCGCGGTATTTGCTATTAGCGCTGACACCTTGTTCATACATAAATGGGTCACTCTGTGGCTGTATTTACATTGAAACTACAACATCCTTGAAAATTGAATAAACCTGATCTGTTGAAGCAGGTAGAGTATTCTCACCACACGGATTATTTGTTGTATTGCATACATATTAGTTAATTTAGTTAATTCTTTCGGTTGCAGAAACAATAGCATATTTCATTCGGATCAAAAGTGACTTTGTTTGACTCGCAAATTCAGTTTTCGCTCGACTTCGCTAGACGGCCCCCGTCTCGCAAATGCACAAAATTCGCTTGTCAAACAAAGTGTCATTGATTTTAATAAAACAATCTACTATTTTTTATTGATAACTCATAATTCTGTTTTCCAATTGCGATGAAACTCGGTTATTTTGTTAACAGTATCAAGAAGCTTCTTTTGGTGTAATGAGATTCGCAATAATATTCCAATGGCGTCGATATTTATGGTAAATAAGGTATCTACGTCGGGGTGGATATTTTCATCAGATTGAACAATTGAAAATACAACTTTTTCGCCCCCTATTATTTTTTTATATCACTCAGTTTTTGAGGAAATAATGAAAAGTTGATTTGATTCCAAATTTTCATGTAGGTGCCCTCAAAACACCCATTGGGATTTTCCAATAACATCAATGAGTATTGTTCTGAAATTTTTAGACTTCTCCAGTCACCAACCAGACTAAATTTTGCCATCATGAAAACTTATACAGGGTAATCATGAAAAACAACAATCAATACTTCCCTGTATCTTGAAAACGAAATATTTCAGGACCTATGTTTAGGTGAACTTTCCGTCTTGGGTTCAACCAATCCTTGAAGTTTGGCCACATACTCACCCTGTATAGGTGAAAATCCTGAAGTTATCGAATCTTACGTCGTTTTCAGAAATTTGTTATTGATTGACAGTATATTGAATAGATTACTCACGCTATGGCAACTAGTAATTCCTGTTTTTGATGTTCTTTTGCTTTTATAGATCCACCTTCTTCCAGTGCTTGCTGCAGCTCCTTTTGAAGGACAGACAATTTCCGTCTTTCCGCCTCAAGGAGTAGACTTGTCACCTGCAAATATAATTAAAAATTGGAAAGCTATTTGGAAAGATAGACTCGGATTGGTATCATTAAATAGACTGCTAGGCTTAGAGTCTTTTTTATACAGGGTGTTTCAAAAAAACCTGACCCGCTTGCTAGGGTAGGTTGAACACTGCAAAATATGTTGGGTTTGCTTAGTGAAAAAATGTCGTAACGGCATTCGTTTTCATGATGTTGATGTTGAAAAATTGATTTTTTTACACATTTTTCACGATTATGTCGAAACTACTGGCAACATTGTAATGAAATTTTGTATGAATATTTCTTGAAATCTGATACATCACATGAATTTGATTTTATATCTGACTCTCATAGGCGCTAGTTACAGGGTTAGTACCGAGTAGTTTAGAACATAACTTTTTGAGGTTATATTTTTCGATCCAAATATGATATGAACTCGAACATCATTCAATTTTACACCAAAAAGGTACTCTTGGTGGAACTCGATACTATGTTCCGTTTTCGAGATATTTCGATTTGAAAATAATGGAGTAATAGCTGATGCTGGTATAAAATGAATTTTATTGAGTTCAATTACCTATTTATTCAGATTCAAAAACAATAAAATTATTCTTTTGCTGAAGTTATTGATGGAACAAAGAATCATAAGTAGAGAATCAAGAGATATTTGACTTGAAACATGCAATATTGAATGAGTTAAGTAAGTGTTCAAAATGTCCTACGTTTCGAAGACAAAACGATTCTATATTCTTTTCTTAAGAATGTATTATTCATCTTCACAGTTGAGGATCAGCTGTTGGGTTATTTTAGTGATGTTCAATTATTATGTCTTACAACTCTTGACGTGAATTTACCTATATATGTAGCATAGACTTTCTGCTCAAGATACAACAACATTGTGTAATCCATGTTCTTAGTCAAATTTGTTTCGATGGTATTCTTATGATTCATTGTTAAATCAATAAGTTCAGCATCAGAAATGTATTGTTGTTTTCGGTTTTCAATAAATAGGTGATAATTTTTCATGATACTCACTAATAAATAGCTTCATACCAGCAACAGTTATCACTTCATCATTTTCGAATCGAAATATTCCGAAAACGGAACACAGTATCGAGTTTGACCAAGAGTACCTTTTTGGTGTTGAATTGAATGATGTTCAAGTTCACATCAAATTTGGATCGAAAAATTCAACCTCAAAAAAGTTATGTTCAAAACTACTCGGTACGAACCGTGCATCTAGCGCCCTCTATGAGACTCAGATATAAAAACAAATGCATGCGATGTGTCAGATTCCAAGAAATATCCATACAAAATTTCACTACAATGTTGCCAGTAATTTCGACATAATCTTGAAAAATGTGTAAAAACTAATTTTTGCAACACCTTGTATCTTGATAACGGATGCCGTTACGAAATTTTTCAACTGGGTGAACCCAACTTATTTTGCAGGGTTCTACATACCCTAGTAAGGTGGTCACTTTTTTTTAAACACCCTGTATAAGTAACCTACACTTCTCCAAGAGATCAACGCACCACCAAAAAGTAGCTAAAAGTATATATACCGGGTGTTTCTCAAAAGTGGCTCACCCTTATAACTCTTTTGTTTATACAGATAAACAAATGGAATTTGGCGTGTGAGTATAGAACATAAATATGCATTATTTGGCGTTTCCAATTGTTTTCTGTAACTTCCGGTTTTACGATAATGTAGCCATATTTTCTTATTTTAAATGGGACATCCGGTATATTTTTACTTATTACGATGGAGAATATCATTGTGAGTACAATAAAACCACATGTGCCACTTTTTGACAATTATTATCATCTTGAAATTTTCTTTTTAATTTTCAATCTAGAGTGCCATGAATGAGTGGAAATAGTTGATTTGGAATCATGTTGCATACAAAAAAAGTTTCGATGATGTTTTACTTTTTATTTGTTTCACAGGTTCATTCAAAATTTACAATATAGTAATTATGATGTTGACTCAATTTTTTCAAATAGAACAAGGGTGACTCATCACTATATCTAATACCACATAATCGATATTTTGAATCAATATCCAGTATCATATAATCACTCTAGATTGAAAATTGAAAAATTAAAATTTCAGGATGAAAAATGTCCAAAAAGTGACAAATGGAGTGCCATCTTACTCACAATGTTATTCTCTATCGAGATAAGTCTAAATATACCGGGTGATTTGAAATTAGAAAATATGGGTCATTTCCAGTCCAACCGGAAGTTACAAAAACAGTAGAATACGTCGAATAATGCATATTTATGATATATATACTCACACACTGGAATTAATTTGTTTTTTCTGTGACGGGAAAAAAGTTTGGCATTTCATCTCTGTTGGCAGGTTATAAAATGTCACTTTTCATGAATTACTTTTTTCCCGTGGGAAAAAAGTGAGAACTTTTTTCCCGGATATATATAACATATATATACTCTGTTGATGGCTTTTGTTGTGCTATAGTTCCGAAAAATGAGTCAATAATACCGTCTCCGAGAAAGAACTGCAAGTCCTTTTATCTTCCATTCGACTTCGCGGTTTCGTATATTACTGAACAACTACTGAATACGCAATTTTTTGAAATCAAATCGCAGAATTGAACTGACAGAAGTGACATCAGATATTTGATTACTTCAAAAGAATGATAAAGATGTCTATAAAACGCAGGTGTCCCTACTGTTAAAAACTTGAAATTTCACGTCGATAATTTTCACATTTCGAAATAATGTAATATCTTCTCAATATTGATTCGTCCTTCTTTCTGTCACAGAAAAAAATAGTGTATTATACACGGGAAAAATATTAGATTTTAGCTCACGGTTTTTTGTCTCCCTCCGCTACGCGTCGGATTTTTTGTTTGCATATTTTTCGACAACAATCCTGGATTATGAAATTTCTCACCTTTTTACAGGAAAAAGGTACACCTGTTCCGTGACGATCAGATGTGTTGTTTTCGAGTAAAACCAATTTAAAAATATTGTTACATCTCAGATATTATGCATAACATTGCAATGATGCGTAGTAAAAATGGAAAAAAATGCACAAAAATTGAAGTAGTTTTTTCATCATCTTTTTTCTATTTTTCGCGATTTTATGATATTGTTGGTAAAAATAAAGTACTTTATTTTTTTAAAGCCACTATGATTTGAAAATTGGCAATGTTATGCATAAGATTATGAGTGCATCAATATTTTTAAATCGATTTCACTCGGAAATGATACATCTGGTCGATGAGGAACAGTAGCACATTTTTTCGAGAAACGGTGTGGATTTTCATAATCCGAGATTAAATTGTCAAAAAATATGCATACGGAAAAGTTTGAGCAATATTTAATGTAGTCCCACCCTGTATTATACACTCCCGAATGAAACTTTGGAATGATTTTATGTTCACCGCATTAGGTATGGTGAGTTCAGTTTTTGTACCAAATTGCATCATTTTATCACGTGGCGTTTCGGAAATATTCAAGAAATATCATCTTCAGAAGCCCCCTCCCAGCGGGCCGAAGCTCCCTTAGGGGACATTTCTCGACTCATGTTCATTGAAACTTTTCTTCCGATTTTTGGACGCAGAAGCCGCTGGTGGAGTTTGGCAGGTTAATTTTGGGACACCCTCTATATCGTTGATAATTTTCACATGTACTATTGTTTAACTAAAAATAAACCATTTGTTTATGAACCTAATATTTTTTCTTCGATGAAAATCTGTTAACGCAATTCGAGGAAATTATTATTAATACTTATTGTCAATTTTATACTCGCTTTATTCGCTTCAATCATCATGTTTTATTATGTTTTGAAATGGCACAATTGATGAATAGCACAATAACAGATTCTCAGAACGATCTTTCTATAGTAACATACATCTCCTCGAACAAAGACTATACACACTTTGGAGAAATTCACAATCGAATTAATTTGTGATACCGCTTTAATATTATGTACCTACAAGAACAAATAACTGCATATTGCAGGCATGTGAATTATTTGTATTATTATGTAAGATGTATAATGAGCACCGTTACTAGATAGATTATATGGTACCATCTGACCGAATTATCGAGAAATTATGTTTGTTGTGTTATGGAACATGAAATGAGATAGGCTATTGCTATTCAACTTGAAAATGGGGAAGACCACTGAGGGATGAAATCCGTGCAAACCTCTTTCAATCGACGAATCATGATTTACGTTTTATGTACAATCAATACTATGAGTTGAAGTTGAAGGGAATCGAATCTATATCGTTTTAAAATCAGCATATTCCATTCGATATTTCAAAAGCCAAATAGGATGGTCTAGCCGTGACGTATTAGTCCCGAACTGTAGCTATCCCCCTCTGATACCTCGTCATTCTGCAGTGTTGCAGTGTGATTCGTCAGTTCAAGGGCAATAGGCGTGTTGGGACTAAGACGTCGCACCAGTCACACCAATGAATTGACAAAAATTCAAATGGCGCAGGAATTGTGTGTTTCGAAATAGACATATTCTAATTTATTTTTTTCATCGTCTTAGCATGACTGAAAAAATTCAAAATTCATTTACTGGTGGTTTTTTAGTATAGAGTTCACAATAATGTCGTTTTGAAAAATCAGTGGTCTTCCCCATTACCAGATTTTATGAAGAAATGCATGATCCACTGAAAATCCCTATCGCTACTTAGACCAGGGTCGATAATTTTCAAAACCGAATATAATTTTAGTAGAATGAAACCCATTGGAAAAGGATGAGAATGGACAAAGATGAAAGGAAAAACAATTTACGGGCGATCTGAGGTGAAGTTGAAGGTGTTGAGTTTTTGAGGGTGAAAAACGTAATATCCCGATTTCTGGCAAAACTCCTATGGAAAAAGTTAACTGGCAAAGTTGTTGGTTAAAAAAGATCAATAACCTTTGTCTTTTTTCACATAACCTGAAAATTTATGTGAGAAATTCAAATACCTATAATAATAAGTTTTTGGTTTTTTATTTTTAATTTTTACATATTT